CAAACTACTTGTAATAACAGAAATACTTTGTCAGGTATTGCTTGTGCTGTCCACCATGGCTGTTTGTTGAAGCATCTTTCAGACACCTCCTTATTCTCTTGTTTCCTTGTATCATCCTGACTCTAGGCAGTAGGACCTCAGAACAACAGATCATAAGCACTGATACATTTGTTACCCTCTGTGGCTTTCAGGAAGGCTCTTGTTTCAGTTCCAGGCGCAAACATGACCTAATAGAGTGGGTAAGCATGCTCTTAAGGCAGTTGGCTTGGTAGCAGTCTCTTCTCTTGCTCTGTGGGACTGTTTTGCTGGACTCATCTGCACCATGGATATTCCTCCCTACAGCAAAGCAAGTATGCTGGTGGAAATGGTGGTGTTCTTTTCTCCCCAAGCTTTTCTTCGTACACTGCTTGGAAGGAACCAGCAGTTTTTTTCATATATACTTCCCACACTTTTAGTGTTTAGCTTGCATGTAGCCAAGAGTAATCTTCAAGGCAACTAATCTTAGTTCAGTCTCTGCTGAGGAATTAAGGCAATGTATCACAGTTCTATTTTGTGAAGTTGCTAGGCTTCTAAAGCTGTAAAGGAGTTTCTTTATAAAAATCCACAGTCTGAAGGTGTAAGAGACAAGCAAATGATAACCTTTTTTCTTTCCAACCTGTCTGGCATGCACAAGGCACTAGAATTCAATCCTTAATTGAATTTTTTGGCACCTTCCTACTGTGAGTTCAATTCGTGCTGTTTCAAAATTCAAAGTACTTAATTTCTGTGAACCATTTGAGTTTGTTGGTATGTCTTAAAATATCTTGGCTTACAGAGGATGCTTGCCCCCTTCCATTTTCTTTTCTGAAAGCATATGCAGTGATCTGAATAGTTCACAGTTTGTGGGTGTGAGGGGGTGATGTTGTTCTACTTCCTCTTAGTCACTGCAGCCTTATGCTTGGAGGAAGGCAAGAGCTATAGTTAATCAGCCCAGTATTCTAGCCTATGCATCTTTTTTCTTCACACATTATGAAATGGGTTTTCTTTCTGCTCGTGTATAGGGGTACATCTGTGCTGGCTAAAGCAGAAAGGAAAAGTGCTGCCCACTGAGCTGTTTGGGACCTGCTGTGGGAAAGCATCAAACAGAATTCTGGGAGTGGTAAAAGCTTTATGAAAGGTTTCAGCAATTTTGAACAGAAGAAACTTCCAAGGAATTAAACTAGACTTGCTGGATGATGTAGATCCCAAAGCTTTTTCACTGTTTTTGTTGTGAGAAGTGACGAAAATGAGTAATATTGTTCATTAAGACCATTTCTATAAACTCTTAAACCCTCTACAGAGCAGTGTCCAAAACCTAAAGAAGGCCTGGGGTGTGAGATGGGCATTTCTCTACTGAAATGGATGCCTACCTGTGCGACCTACTGCAGGGAACCTGCTTTGGCAGGGGGGTCGGACTCGATGATCTCTGGAGGTCCCTTCCACCCCCTACAATTCTGTGATTCTGTGAAAACAAATGCCAGGAGGTTAAAGTTGCTAAATAACCCCTTTAGCTGTTATAATATATTCTGTGCAGTAACAAATGTTTGTTTTGGAGTAGTGCTGCATTCTTTAGTTTGCTGCTGCTTTTTTTTAATGGGGACTGATGCAAGCAAGGGTAAAACATGCTTACAGACCTCTGTGTCTGTAGATGATTTGTGATGCACGCTTCTTTTTTCAAGAAGGTGCTACTGCTTGAGGAGTTGGGGCTGCTGCTTCTTTGCCTGGAATGTGATTTGTGTATCAGTTGATCTAAGTCTTGCTGCTTTAGTTTCTATCACTGATTGGAGCTCAAATGAAATTCATGTCTCAGCCCTTAATATTTGTTTACGTAAGGGCTGAAAGCAGCTTCAACAGGTTTTTTGTTTGTGTCACCCAGTGCAAAATGTGTCCTGTAACTTTTGAAATTAATGACTAAGTCCACATAGAACAGTAGTTAAAAGAATTGCTGTTTAGCTGGTGCAGTATTTAACTAGCTTTCACTGATAAGAAAGGCTGCGACAGTGTTGTTCATGACTGAGTCTGAAAAGACTGTCAAAATTCTGATGGTATTCAGGGCTTGTTCAGCTTCCCAAGCAGAAATTGCACAATGTTCAGCATTGTTCCCTTCACTTAAGGTAGAGTACAGGTATTTTAAAAATGCTCTCTGATTCTGTGTTGTTGTGGAAACGATTGCCCTTAACTTACTGAAGAAAGATGCTGAGAATGTGCTGTACTTTAAGTGCTCAGCTGTTTGTTGGACCAAGACCTGCTGCTTGAAGAGGCATGTGAAAGTATGAAATCAAGTGTAATACTGCCTACAGCAAGGTGGAATTGGAGGCAGTAACTGTTATGACTAGAATGATAATTGAGCTAGATTCCCATTGTTAGAAGTGCATACATGTGCTGTCAGTACAAGGAAAAGGGATCTGGGGTATTTATCCCCAATGCCTTGGATTAGACTGAGAGGAAAGCATAACTAGGAAATGATTTTCACAGAGACAAGCAGCTTGACCAAGTGTCTGTTCTGTTCTGCAGGCTTCTCCCACAGACCTTGCTTGCATTAAAACATCATCCCTTGTTTTATACTTGTATGTTGAAAGAGCCCAGTCCTCACAAACAGCCTGAGAGCGCTGCCACTGCAGGGCTGCGCTGCATCTTCTACCCATACCCACCTCCTGCAATTATTGAAGAGTTTCTCACAGTCAGGCGTATGGCAGAGATCAGTGATGGAGTGCTGAATAGCTCCCTCTGCAATGAGAAAGCTGGGGCATTTTCCTTTTTTAAAACTGAGAATTCATTTGTCTGTGTTTGAGCAAATCAATACCGTGGTCTTGATACAACAGTTGTATCAAGTTGTCTGCAAAATTAAAATCCTGTTGAACTCTGCAAACTTGCTTACAGGCCTATTAAAAAGCCCCAATACTGCCTTGTGCTTAGCTGAGCTGATCTTGGTGTGCTTTTTGCTACTGCTATGGATGGCCTCCATGGCAAGTTTATTAGCATTTCTTACCTTGTATGGCTTTCAAGTTGAGATCAGTACACCCCACCCTCTCCCCTCTGCCCCCCCCAAAATTCATTTGTTTCACTACGATAGGAATTGTAATATCTTTAAGTAACTAATAAACAGGTTTAAAAACAGTGCTATTAATAAGAGGGTTGGAGAAATTTGTGCTATATTGATACCTTTTTGGTCCATGAAATTTGTGTTCATGAAATGATGGTTATGCCTCGGACTGAAATGATTTCCATTGGAAAGGCAGTGCAGTGCTGAGTGTTTGCACAATATGAAGCTGCTGATGTGGGCTCATGTAACTTTTTTATGTGTGCTGTTAAGTAGAATAGGAAACTATGGGGGGGGATTTCTGATATCTTGCAGAGAATCAGAAAAATGTATGAGTTCATCCAGAAAGATGAACTGTTGACATGGGGAGGGATCATTAGACGTGGATAAACAGAGCATATTTCATACATGTAAGCAGACCATAGAAGGGAGGTAGGGAGGGGGAGAAGCAGGGCTGTGGTTCATCTCTCTAAGAACCTGCCATTTTTCCCTGAAACGTGTGTTTGCTGTGTTAATTCATCTGCTTCATTTCCTCAATGAAAAATAAACAGAAGGCTGAGCTGTGGCCAGGAAACAGAATCTTAAACAGTGACCACGTTGCTTGCTGCCAAAGCGTGTACCTTGTTGTTTTTCATATTTTTTCTCATCTGTGAAATGTGAGTGATGTTTATATTATGTATCATTCAGTGTTTTGCAAGGTAATTGTATAACAGATACGTAGTCCTTTGAAGATGAAATGTGTGATACAAATGGCGTACAAAGCTTATCGAGGGTCTCTGTCAGGTATAGAGGCCCACAGTAACTGCAGGCACACAGCTGGGAAGCATGAGGCAGAGGCACTTTAGCAGCATGTAAATTGACTTCAGTTGAACAGCAGGGTAGCGCATTCACATGAATTTATCCCATGCTGACAAGCCCTGCAACCTGGCACAGAAACATACAAATGCTTCTTCTGGACTAAATCTGTTTGCTTCATGGTATTTAAAGCTGTAAGCGTCCAGGAGAAGCAGCTAAGCACAAGCTGTGTTGGCTCCCGTGACTGACCAGTTGGTCAAGTGCCAATGTAGTGTGAAGTGAAAGGGAGAAATGAAATGGAGATGTGTATGCAGCCCCAGAATGTGCAGTTTTAATTAAGCTAGTAGTTGTGTGACAAGCCAAACTGGGGTAGAGGGAGAACTGTTGTTTGACGCCTTTTAGCAAAGCCTGGGGGTAAGTTAGGTTATTAATCCTCTTGATTTCTCTCTAGTTTCCTGTTTCCACTGCTGAATCTTTCCTGCTGTTACATAAAGTAATTTAACCTGCTCCAGGGGCCTGCATAGGAAAGTTATTGTCTGTTAGCAAATGTAACTAGTCAAAGCTAGTCAACTTATTGCTGTTTACTAACAGACATCTTGGCTGCTTGCTGTGAGTTTTGCAACCAAGCAACATCGTGGTACATTTCCTTTGTCACTGGTGTCAGCAAGCTTTTTCTGTGCCTGAAGTAGTCTTACCAGTTCCTGGAGTAGTGTGACTTAGATGAATAAGTTATTTCTTACTTGGAAGATCAAATGAAAGAAACATGTTTGTAAGTCTCCTTGGTGGAAAAAAGTGCAGAAATATATATCATTTCTACACCAGCATTGCTTAACGATACCAAACTTGACAAGGAGAAGTAGGAAAGGTATGGCTGTGTTTGATATTTTCTGTAGGAGTCGAATTTTATTATTTCATTGAAAGTTTACAGAAGCATAAAGTCATTCAATACCTAATTTTCAGGGGGGAAATGGTTCATTGCTTCGTTTTGAAGGGTGTATGTGCCTCCTCCAGGAAACTCAAGTATGCCCTTAACTCCTTGCCTAGATTTTTTCCCACTAAAATTTGAAATTTGCTGAGCTTACCACTGTGTTTGAGTTTAATCTGTTGTTATGTGGAGTTACTTATTTCCTCTAAAATTGTCTTGCAGGTCTTAATATCTCACGACATGTATTTCCTTGGATTATTATCTTTGCTTGTTCTGCCAAGTAAAGCCTTCAAGACAAATTTTCCTGATGAAACTATTGCTGAGCTTTCTGTGAATGTTTACAATCAGCTACGAGCTGCAAGAGAAGATGAGAATATTCTTTTCTGTCCCCTGAGCATTGCAATAGCCATGGGAATGATAGAGCTTGGAGCCCATGGATCCACCTTGAAAGAAATTCGACATACGTTGGGTTTTGACAGCTTAAAAAATGGTAAGGACTTTTATAATCGTGCTTTACAACAGATTTTTAGACTTAAAGAAACAGCTGGCAATGCTTCAGCAACCGTGGAAATGGCCTGATGATGTCCAGAGGTTATTAATCAGGGGGCTTCTTGACATTCTGTGTGATGGCCTGAGCGTGCTGGAGCATGCTTGAGTGGATTCTGTGTGAGCAGCAATGCTAATGGACAATCCTGGCTTGGGCAGCTGAATCCCAAGTGATTGCAGCATACTGTTGATCTTGGTTTCTCTCTGTGAAGTTAAGGATGCTCTTGCCTCTGGAGTTGCAAGATGGCTTATAATGAAACCTGAAAAGGAAAGGATTGTTTTAGGCAATATTGCTTAGAAGTAGGAGAACTCAGTAGTAAGACCAGAAGCATCATCTCTTACTTTGATGGAACTTGTTCTTGTAGATAGGACATGCAGGTTTTAGCCTAACATGTCTGCTGTGTTCTGTTTGCACTACACAATATAGCGTGCGAGCTAGTTTAGGAAATAGCAATGTCTTGGTTGTTTCTGCATGATACTTAATGTACTCCAAGGGTTGGAACTAGGTGATCTTCAAGGTCCCTTCCAAGTGTTTTTGTGATTCATGTGTTCCTGTCATTCTTGCTGAGAAACAAGAGGCATTATTTAACAGAGCAATGGTATTGCTATAGTGTGGGATAAGCAAAAAAGTCATGCATCTGGATGTAGTGCCACAGAACACATATTCAGTGCCAACCATTCTGATTTGTCTCCAAATGGAGAAGATCAATGGATGGGGGAAAATATTTTGAAGTGAATTTTTACTAATTTTGTTGTTGGAATAATGAAAACTTGAATGGAATTCCTTGTTCATAGAACTCATTGGATGCTAAGTCCTCTGTGAATGGGTGTTGAGGAAGGAGTTCTGAATACAGTTCAGAAAAAAGTTTGTCAAGCTTTGTGTGCTGTACCTGTATGCAGTCAATAGCTTTCTGTAGAGATTACGGTGCACATTTAACTCAGATTTCTGATGGTCGATAAATTAACCCATTATCTGTAACTTAAGAAGTTAATGCAGCACATTTGAGCTGGGCCATTCACTGTTCTTGACACAGTGCGAGTTGAAAGCATTCTGACAACTTGAGCTTGAAATATTTGTGTTCAATTTTTAAGTTACATCGTGAAGAGAATCGGAATGTTCAGCTTCAGGCAGGCAGTGCAGCAGTGTGAGCTTTCTGTCTTCAGGCAGGCTTTTTGGAATCCTTTTGGCTGTGAGGGCAGTTAGGATTCTGTGGCTTTTAATCTGATGCTGTCACTGCCAGAACTCCTCATTACCCAAGCAAATGATCCATGCAATATCCTGGGAAATTCTAGGCCTGTCTTAGTGAGGGAAACTCCGTGTGGGCCCTAACAATCAGAACTGAGCGTTGATTTTTTTCTTTGCCAAGCTCCTGAATAACTGTTTTTTAGAACATAAGGGAAATCTGTTGGCTTGTGGTGGCAAAGCATGGAAGTATGACTCATAAGAATTTTTAGTTCCTTGATGTAGAGAGGATTATCACTGATTATCACAGTGTCTGATGGGGTTCAAATGGCTTGTTAATGATAATTGTAAGGAGTTGAAAGAATAAGCTCTAAATGTGTTCTGCTTTGCAGATTGTTTTCTCAGATCTGAAGGTGTTCAGGTTTCAGTCAGACTGCATGTGTTTAACTGCTGGACGTAAGAACACAAATTGGACTTCATAAAATGACTGTATTTCTAGTGCAAAACGATGGATTTTTTTTCTGAAGTGCTCTCACTGAACTTGTATTTCTTCCCTCAGGTGAAGAGTTTGCCTTTCTGAAGGACCTGTCTGATATGGCAACTACAGAAGAAAGTCATTACGTTTTGAATATGGCTAACTCTCTCTATGTTCAAAATGGATTCCATGTTAGTGAAAAATTTTTGCAGTTGGTGAAAAAATACTTTAAAGCTCAAGTAGAGAATATAGATTTCAGCCAGAGTGCAGCTGTAGCTACCCACATCAATAAGTGGGTAGAGAATCATACCAACAGTAAGTTTACATGGTTTCTATTTCCTGCAGTAAGTGTCTTTATTTCTGGAGTTAGGACACTGAATTTTTACCTTTTCATCTCTTTTGTTTCTCCACTCATAAAGAGAATTGTAGCGTGAATCCTGCCACAGAAAAAATATGTAGCTGTCTGAAGAGAAGTAATATTCTAAGTAGCATTAACCATTAAATCATATGGTGGGATCTGTCTGAATGTTTTCCAGTGAAATACTTGTAACATCTACCGAAGGAGCAAGTTTTCATTTAAAGTCTCTTTAAATTTTTAATACTGATTTCTATATTAAGTTACAAACAAGTGTAGATAAGTGCTATTGTTAAATGCTAAACTCTTATCTACAGAGGGATTATTGGCCTGTGCTTTGTCTGTGTGGAGGACTGAGGAACTGATAGGTACAAGTTATGGAGAAATGGAATGCTAGTAAATACTGGAGGTTACTTCAAGCACAAAATGAGACCCTGTGATCTAATCTTTACAATGTGTGGCTATGAGATAACATGTTTAGAGAGTATTTGGTTGTAGAGCTCTGACATAGAAATACTAACAAAATGCAGTGGAAGGAAAGGAGTAAGCACAGAATGACTGGTATAAATATGCCTGTTTAGATCTGGTTGATGCAGACTTTAGGATTCTTTTAAGGAATTAGTAGATTGCTGTGTTGTACATGCATTTAAGAATCATAATGCTTTACAGGAAGCTTGCAGCACTAAAGCTGAAAGACATCTTGCATAATGTGTTTAGTTCATTTTTAAAAAGCATCTAGCTTTTTCTGTGGGAAAATGGAACCTACTGTGGTGAATTCTGCCCTTTATCTCATCTGCAGAAATAGAGGCAATGGAAGTAATGCAGCAGCTAGCGCAGTGTTCTAGGAACACATCATCTCTGAGGGAAAAGCCAAATTGTTTCTTTTTCAAAGGGGCACCCAGATCTCATGCTTAATGCCTGCCACATCTGCTGACCAAGTTTGTACCCATCACCTTGGAAAGAACTGTTGAGCTAACAAAGGCAGCTGTTGGTCTCTTAGCATCGGGTTGTGATAGTAACAGTCCCTCAGCCTAATCTCCAAGCACTCGATCTCATTCCCTCCTGCCTGCCAGTTCTGACAGAGGGCTCATTTTCCCATTAGTTAAGGAGTACAAGACAGCTTTCCAGTTCCAGCATGTTGAAAATGATGGGAAGCTCAGAGTAGAAAACATAACTGTCAAGGTTTCTCTGGCCAGAGGTGATTCTTAATGTATATCAGTGTATTCAGATGTGACTGAAAAGCTCAAGAGAAAATGATGTACTAAGTAATAAAAGACAAGCATATTCCTTAGTTTTTCTTTTTTCCTACTATAGAGTAAGTATGGGTCACATCTCATTTCTGAAGAAGTTCTAGTTGGGATGAGGTATGAACAGTGACCCATAACAAATTTTACTGTATAATAGACAAATTTCACACCAGTTGGTAGGTGTCATATGCTCCAGAGAGCATAATTTGTATTATAAACAGGGCATTAAGGGAGTCATAACCAGACTGAGGAATGTGTTTAACACTTTGTACGTGGTGTCAGCTAAAATAAGTGAATAAGAAAGCCATCTGAAGTAGGCTGAAATTTGTCAAGAACACCACTAATGTGGTCAGCCTGTCACATTTAGTGATCTCAAAATTGTTTTGTTGGAAAGGCAGCTGTTTAAGATGAGCTAAAGCAGGTTAGACTGTATTCTCATGTGAATGATTTAGGAATAGGAGTGAAGCAGCTGCCATGCTTAGCTGACATACCTCCCTTGTGTAGAGCAGACACTGTCTTTCACTTGTGCTTTTCAAGTGCTAATGTGAGTGGAACAAATGCTGAGAATCTATATAAATTAGCCTTTACTAATCAGTGAGACACTACTTGATTAGAAACTGAGCACTTAAACACTAGCCCAGGTGAAGTTTCAATGGATATGCATATGTTTCAAACATCCACTTTTAATTCTTCTTTGGATCAGAACCAGAATGTGTAGATCTGACATGAAGAGAAAAATGCTGAAATGTATTACAGCACCAGTGTAAATGGTTTGACTTTGTTTCTCCCTTGATTTAATTATGGGGTATATGTAAGTAGCGATACAGTAACAGCTAACGTGTGATAGGAAGATTTGTGCACCTACACTGTGACTTTTGGTTTACAAACCACTGGAGTTTAATCTGAGATTTAATGAAACATTTGAATTGGAAATTACATGTTAGTGTAGCTTTTTATTTTGTTGCCTTTTTTTTTGAGCTGCCTTGAGATTTGATTTAATGCTCCATTTGACATGAAGACTGACAGTTGTTTTTCTTCTTAGATATGATCAAAGATTTTGTGTCATCAAGAGACTTTGGTGCTCTAACTCATTTGGTTCTCATCAACGCAATCTACTTTAAAGGCAATTGGAAGTCACAGTTCAGACCTGAAAATACAAGAACTTTTTCTTTTACTAAGGATGATGAAACTGAAGTGCAGATTCCAATGATGTACCAGCAGGGAGAGTTTTATTATGGTGAGTTGAAAATGCAACAGTTTAAATCTAGTGGAGGGATGCTTATTTGATGTGTTTTTATAGTATGTGCTTGTGTATTATACCAGCAGCAATATATGTAATGATTCATGATTCCTGTTTAGGTATGTTTTAGTGCCATATGATGAATTTTGGAATGTTTGTTCACTATTTTCTAAATTTTTTTTACAATTATAGAGCTATATCTGCTTTTTGGTGAAATATTATTCTTGTACTATGTTAAGTACTGAAATTAATAGGCTGGATATTAGGGAGGATTTCCTTATTGGGAGGGTGGCTAAACACTGGAGCAGACTTGCTAGAGAAATGGTTGCTCCCATGCCCCTCAGTGTTCAAGAGGTATTTGCATAATGTCCTCTGTGATAATTTCCAATTGGTAACCTGGGTAGTTTTGCTCTGATTTTTTTTTTTCTAGATCCCTTCTAACTATTCCAAACAATGCTTAATATAAGGACACTTATCCATTACTGCCCTAGTAGTCCTAGATGAAATGAATTCTTCAAACAGAGCTAATAGTGGTTTTTCCTTTGAGCTTGAACTCCTAATGGATTCTATGGTGTCTACTGTTGGCAATACTTTACTGTCTCTTTGTTAATAAGCTGTCTTTCTGAAAGAAAAACTCTGCCTGCTTCCACGAAGATCTTAGCTTTAACAACTTCTAGACTTTACTCACTGAATGGAAGTTAGGTGGAAATTAGGTAACATGTTTGGAAGTATGGTTACCTACAGACTGATTGTGTAAGATTACCTTCCTTAGAAAAGGAGGTATAAGACTTAAATCATACAATGAAAGAACTACAACTTCTTTTTACTGAGTAAAGGGTCAATTAACTCCTGTACCTAGTCAGCATTACCTACCTCTTATCTTTCTCATATCTCCACTAAAAATGAAAGAATGTACTTCTAATGGAATTTCCCTGTTTCTCTTGTAGGAGAGTTCAGTGATGGCTCTAATGAAGCAGGTGGTATCTACCAAGTTCTAGAAATACCATATGAAGGAGATGAAATTAGTATGATGATTGTTCTTACCAGACAAGAAGTTCCACTGGTCACGTTGGAGCCACTTGTCAAAGCCTCATTGATTAACGAGTGGGCTAACTCAGTAAAAAAGCAAAAAGTTGAAGTATATTTACCAAGGTGAGAATATGCTGCTGTGTCAGTAAAAGGGGGGAGGCTGCTGTGTTCAGTTGGGTTGGAATAGCAGTGTAGGTAAAAACGGGGCTCTTGACCAAAACTGTAGTTATGGAGCACCCACACAAAGGTGGCTGTGACAAGAAGATCTGGGGGTGTGCAGTGCTTAACAGTAGTTGTTTGAGCAACAGCCCAATGCTGCATTTGTGTCCCTTCCAGGTATAAGCTCCAGGAAGGAGAATTTCATTAAGTATATCTACTCAGAGTGATGGCTCTCTTTTTATTGCAGAACTCATTATGGTTAAGTTCCATTTAAGATAGGAGCCATACAAATATTTCAAGCTTGAATTAACAAATGTTTCATTTGGGTGCTAATTAGATTACTATTTGCTGCTAATTCAAGAAGTTTTAATGGTATATGTAGATACAAATAGTTGAGTATTGAGAGGTAATTTCAATCAATGTCTTCCTTAGATGTTAGAGGGGTTGAACTCATTTTCATTAGAGGACCAGTGAAATTGGTTTGTTTGTGGACATAACCTGTATATGCTCAGAGATGTATTTACTCAAATGCACTACTACCTTTCCAAGAATTTTCATCTGCCTCTAAATGTTTGTGTACCTCATACTTGTTTGTTACTGAAAGTCAATGTGTGCTTCCATCATAACGGTCTTCAAAGGATTCATAATGATTTCATTAATTGTATTAAACTGTCTATATAACAATATGGTACATGCTTTTGGACTTATTGAGCTTTGCTGCTACAGCTCAAGGCAGCAGAAAAAAATAAACCATAGTGAAGCCTTGTCACAGAAATGATTCTTGTTTTCATGTGACTTGGAAATTGGGGTTATACTGCACATGCAAGGAACAGGGCAAAATCCTTTAAAGGGTGGGGAAACTACTTTTGCTAAGCTATTTATCCTTTCCCAATGAAATGGTACATGATGTTACCAACAAATTAAATAGGGAGTCTTCCATCCTTTAAGCTTCTTTTTTATAACTGAAGTATTTTGCTGCCTCTGTATCAGGTGCTGATGCTTGATATGTTTTTCCCATGTATGAGATGCATAGAATCCAGAGGTCTATGAAAACTAAGCTTCTGAATTTAGGAATTTGAGGTATCCCAAGTAAATACATAAGCACTGTTTAAATTGTGTTAATGATCCTGGCCTTAAGTTTTTTTTGTTGGCAGTTTTAGTTTTTGCTTATTTCTTCTTAACCTAAAGCAGAGAGTTCAGGGTTCTCTGTAGCCAGAACTTCAGACACGTTTATGCCTGAGTTGAGGCTGTGTTTTTGTGTGGTCGTGTAACCTATTTATTCTGTACCCAACAATTCTAACCTTAGGCTAGTCTTCATGCCCGTCACTCTCATCTAAGAGCCTCCAGAAAATTGTTAAATGCTTTTTGAATTAAGGTTAAGTAAAGGCAAAACAGATACAACTGGGTTCTGATTACCTTCAGCGTTTTCCAGTTATGAGAGAACTCATGAACTTGAAATACCACACAGTAACAGTGCAATTTCCTATAAAAATTAGATTAATTGCACACTCCCAAGGTGTTGGATTTCCATTAGAGGATTCAGAGGGGATCTGCAGGATTTTATCAATGCTCAGAATAAAAACTTCATAAATATTTTATGCTCTGACTCAGGAAGGCCTGTTATGAAATGTGGCCTGCAGGCTCTGTCCACTGAGAAACTGAAAACAGCAGTGGAATAAAATTAATTTTTTATATCCTGGAAGATGCTATCAAATTATACAGTGAAAATTTCCAAGCTGTCCTAGGGCCTGAACACTAGCTGAAAGCACAGTTAATCACAACATTATAATTTCTGTTTGCATTATCTGTGTGCAAATTACTCTTCTTAATAGCGAAGGAGGAATTTGAACAGAAGTGTTAAGTTATACTACTTTTTCATTTTCAAATCTGTTTGCAGTTTAACTCAGACAAAAACGATCAGCAGTCTAATCCTATTTATTCATGGAATGGAAACAGACCATGAATCTAATATTCAGAACTCTAGTAATTTATTTGAAGAACACAGGAAGAGCTACTACCTAATGACATTGCACCAGATCATTCCTTGAAGTCTGTCCCAGTATGCTTGGCTTTCTTCACTGACCTTCCCACTTCACATAACTTTGAAAGATCCTTGTTTATCTGAAAGTTTTTTCTTTCTCTCAAGAAAACAAACCTTTTTTTTTTTTTTTTTTTTACATTCTTTTGAGTCCTGTTCTGATGAGGTCAGATCTCATGGTTCTTGAGATGGTCACAGAAGAGAAACAAAGCTGTGTGCTGTTGCAGTACATGTAGCCAACATCTGCAGCCTATATTTAGCCTTCACAGAAGGACCTTGCCAGAGAGAACCATAACCTGCCTTGTTCTGCCTGGTCAGAACAACAGTACTGTGGCATTTTCTTGTTTTATTTTCAGGCTATTGAATTATGCAAGCTAGTTCTAGCACCTCGGGACAACCTTGCTGAAATTCCATCTGAAAAGTTGGAATTGATGTCAGCTGGCAGCTTGGTATTATAATACAAAGTTGCTTATTGGGCTGAAATTGCAATTCAGATCCTTAAGGCCTGTCTTCTAAGCAAGAAATTGTTGGTTTGTCAAATGGAGCCATTGCTTTACTTCTTGTTCTGCAGAATCTAATATATTAGAACCAAACTGCTTTGCTTTTTCTCAGGACTTCTAGCAAGCCTTGAAATTATAGCCTTTGGGATGAGTCACACTAGGCTGTAGTTATACTTCTACTGCATAGCTGGAAAGTGTGCTCAAATCCTCTTTTGTAGATCCTGAGCACCTAGGGACTCTACTGAAAACTCAGCATTTCAGAAGAGTTGCATGGCCTCATGCAGGATGAAGCCATCTTTATTTTTCTTGTCTTAAAAGTCTAGCTAGAAGATGACTTAATACACTTGAAGCTTTACACAAAACCTAAAGTTCTGGACTGTTGTAATTGTGAACAATCATTAAGGTAAAGGATAACAGGATAGATTTAGGTTGAATGCAAGGGAAAGGTCTTACGCAGTAATGATGGTGAGCAGCTGTAACTGGTTGCCCAGAAATGTGGATGCTCAGTTGCTGGAGGCTTTCAAGGCCAGGTTGGATGGGGCTCTGAGCAACCTGATCTAGCTGTGGATGCCTCTGTTCATTGCAGGGGAGTTGGGTGAGATGGCCTTGAAATGTTTCTTCCAACTGTGAGAAAGCTAGGATTCTCTAAAGCCTATGTTTCTAAGAATGCTGATGCATTTCATACCAGAATGTGAGAAACTTCCTTGAGTGTGTGACTCTTTAACATCTTTAGATACTTTTGAGAACTGCCTAGACAGTAAAATGGCAAGAATCAGTTCTCCTGCTTTACTCCAGGCATAGGCCAGAATCCATCTGGACAGGGTACGTGACCGATTCTGATGCTGCCAGTGATTTGTCAGTCTCTAGCTCTCTCCAGATCTTATTTTAACTTACAAAAAATTCTTCTCTGGGAAATGATTTGCGATGGAATAGATATGTCATCAGGAATGTGGTTTGTATAAGACAATCCAGTTGTCTTTTGATGTTCAGATTACCCTTTTTCAAGCTGCTGAGGTTTGTATGTGCAGAGTTATGGTCAGGGATTGTACATCATACTAGCAGCCTTTAATTTCTTCTGTGTAAGAAAACATTTCAGCTGTGAAAATAAACTAATTAGTGTAAGCATTTTTACAGGAAGCATTGCTATGCTATATGACTATTACTGAAGCTCTTATTTCATGTTGTCTCAGTATTTCAGTTGTCATTGCCTAGAAATTTTAATACTCTAACCAATGTAAGCAGTTCTTATTAGTTTTTTACATTTTTCTTTCATTTTTCAGGTTCACAGTAGAGCAAGAAATTGATCTGAAAGATGTATTGAAAGGTCTTGGAATTACGGAAGTGTTCAGCCATAATGCCGACCTCACTGCGATGTCTGGTAAGAGGAGATGTGAGTGCTGAAATCATCCATTTCAGGATAACCAGTGAGATCTCCAGTGTGTTTTCATTTAAAAAAAAAAAAAAAACAAAAACCTGCTAGCAAACTTCTGATCTTCTGGGATGTTTTGTGTGATGCAGGGTTGTTCTCTATAGGAACGTCTGAAGTGGGTGAGCATTGGAGTGGGAGGGAGTGTTTTTGATCTGGGAGAAGTCATTCTGAGATATCAAACTGAATCTTAAAAATGTGCAAGATGCAGATCCACGTTAGAGCAATGTGTGGCTTCAGTGCCTTAATAGCAATGAGTTCTATGCACCATGGTAGTTGTCATCTTTCTCCAGAGGCTATTTCTTCGTGGAATCAAGGGCTTTAAATACTTGTATGATTGGTTATCCCCACAAGTACCTTCTGTATGTAAGTGTAACAGGAAAGAGTTCTGAGAGGGAAGTATGCATGCTGCTTGTCTATTTCAGTGCACTATGAACAGTTTCATTGAAATATCAAATACTTCAGGTGGAAAGCAGATATTCAAGTTTTTTAATACTTACTGAATACTTTAATGAAACATATAGGAGTGTCACAAAAGGTAGCTGTGCTGCTGTTGCTCAAGTTCTTGTGTGTAAGAAAAGCCTTCTTATGAGCAGTATATTTAGCATGGTGTGTCTAGACCTGTGGTGTGACAGACCAGGATGTTCTCTATCTAAAAACACATTACCAGCGTGGGATGACTGATGTTCATGTAACTTATGCTTATATATGCTCTGTACGTTTCTGCTCTGTGGGTTACTGTCTAAGCAGCCAGAGATTTGCATAGCTGATGGGAAGTAATTCCTAATTGTCTGTTTGTGGAAGCAATCATGCTGGTGTATCTTGTTCAAGGTAGTAGTAATGAAGTATGAAATGTGCAGTTGAAGCATTTGGAATTACATGCCTTTCATTTTTGCAAGTTAGAAACATCGTTCATAGATTATATGTAGCCTATTCTGCTATTTTGCTGCTTTTCCTTTTCCTGTGAAATTGTAAAGAAAGCTGGAATTAGCTAATGTGAAAAGAATTTGCATAAATGAATAGTGCTTCCTAAGTCAATTTTCTGAAGAAAAATATTTCCAATTTCTCTACTGTTCCAAAGAAAAATGAGCTTCACAATAGCTTCTCTATGTACAGTAAAATATTTGCTTGAGGAGAAATACCAGGGAGAATGGAAAATGCACAGAGCAGGTTGAACTCCAAGGCAGCGTTTGGTTCTTATTTTGTTGTATCTGAAGTATGCCTAAACATTGGTGAATAATTCTGTAGTTGAGATTAACAGGAAGATTGGAACTTGTTTTAATCCATGTGACTGAAGTTTCATATTGTTGACAATTGCACTGTATAAAATCAAAATGTCATGTTTTGCATGAGTGAATTAACTCTGCCATTTAAAGAAGAGATTGTTTTTAAAATGAAGTGGTGTATATAGAAAACTCAATAGTCTTACTGTAGCATTCTGTTTACTTTTAAGAGAGCATGTGTTGCCAGGAAGCAGGTATTTCATAAATTAAGAGTAAGAAAATATTATTGAAGTACTATCTTCACTGAAAAACACTATTGATGCTATGGAGATGATGTTTCAGGTAATTGAAACACAGTCTTTTTCTCCTTCTAAAAATGAGGGGAGAAGAAGGAACAAAAAACAAAGGGATGTTAAGAACTTGCTTTTGCAAATAGCTGAATAGCGTGTCAGGTAACAAGGAAGCTGAGGCTGTTAGTTTACATGCAGGTCAGTGTTAGTGCTTTGGAAAGCCTAAATGCAGGTATTTGAATGAGAACTCCACTAATTTTAGGGAGAAAATAAGGAGACTTACGAGAAATTCTGTTGTTTAAAATAACTTTTCCCCTTCTTCTGTTGCTGTTGCCTTTGGATTGTTGTCAAGGCGTCTGTGATTTCAACAGCCCTAATCCTGTAATCAGATCAAGGCACAGACTGTTGACTTCAGTGAAATTCTGTGAGTTCAGTCGATACAAATGAAATTGGAGGATTGCAGAATTTTCCATGTTTAGTTTTTTACTTTTTACACTCAAATGGAAAAATGGATCTGGATGAGTCAGGTTTACCTCTCAGGATATCTGGATTGTGAGCAACCACAGATTAAGTACTCATCTAGATGCTTGCTTTAGATGTAGATTTCTTGCAGAACTTGTCAATTTGTGCAGGTGAGTAGGAGGATGTTCCTGTTTGACTACCTGGTTGTGAGTATTTGACTCACTTTCAGAAAAAAACAAACTTGAACAGACATTATTTCCATCTCTGATTCTATCTTGTGGTCATAATATTCAGAGTTGAAACGTAGTAAAAAACAAACTTTGAAAGAACTTCCAATGTTTGGGATGTTATAACTTACCCAGACTTGCAGTTTTGAGTATCTTGAAACTAAGAATTTCAGCAAGTTTCAGACTGCTGTGCTAAAGGTCAACTTCTCTTTCAAATGATTGTAATATTTTTTGCTGTTGTAGAATGCCTTAACTGGCAACTGCTTGTAGGCTCAAGATGACCTATGTTTCAGGGAGCTATGAAGTGTTCTTAATGACTGATTTCACAATATTTAATAATAGGAAGAGCACCATCTCAGTGGTGCTCTCATCTTCACAGTCGTGACTGAGGTAGATGTAATTTTTCTGGGGCATCCTGAGCTAGGAAAGCCAATAAACCTGCATGCTTTTCTTTAAAATGAGACTTGCAGAGCAACCGTTTGGCAGCTTTGAGTAGGAGTTCACAAGCATATGGAGTGTAGTGACAAATGAAATGTGATGCTAACAGTCATGTACATTAGAAATAAGCCCCAGATCACACCTATGTATTAATGGCTATCTAGGCAAGGGGCTTGCAGAAAGCCTAAACTCTGCGATGCCAAATCTTCCTGGGGATTGTATGAGTAATAGTTAACAGAGCACACTCGCTCCCTAGGAAGTCTTGTTTCAGAGAAGCTAATAAAAAAAAAAATGTGATAGGAAATACTCAGGTAAGTTTCATCTCTTCCTCTTGTGAAGGGAAAGATGTGTTGTGTATGATACTGAACTTATTCAGCCACTTGACAATGGCAAAACACAGCAAAGAGGTTTTCACCTAGTGTTGTCCCTGCTCCCCATGTGGAAATGAACTCGAGGAGGGCTGTAATAGCAGCAGTATGAGACAAATAGTCTAGAAGAAGGAAACTGGTATATGAAATTGCTATTTTCACCATCCAAGGACAAATATATCCATCAGAGTGAAAGGCAAGGAATTGAACCCAAATAAAGGTACTCTTATGGAAAACTTAACCACAGATATTTGGATATGGTTTGGGGTTATGAGATTGAGATTGAAAAAAATGGCTTCAGCACAATGAACTGTCCACACTACATTGACTGAAGACTACTTATACCTTCTGTGGATCAGAAACTTGTTTTAGGACATAAGGTATGTGCTGAATGAGAGGATGTTTTACTCATGGGAGTAAGTTACACTGTAGTTTTCATCTGTGAGACTTATTTTGTACTGAATAAACGCTATTAATGTAACTGGAGGTTTTTCATCTGTTCCCTAGCCATGTACTACTTGCATTCTTGTCAACAATGTATTTTCTATACTTAGAACCAGAGTACATTTACAACCTATCTCATTTTTATAGCTGATGGTAAATGTTAGTAATATTTGTGTTGGCTGAGTTAGGGCTCAATTTCATAATAGTCAGTAAGCTCATTAGATGGAGACTGATCTGTTAAAGTGCTGAGTCTTCTGGTTAGAAATATACTTTGGAGTAACATAATGCCACGCTATGCAGAATCAAACATACAGGATTAAAATAGGGAATATTGCTGTGAGTATTACAGGTCACAGGAACAGGGTGAAGTACTGTGATTAAAAAAAAATCATGATTCAAGGGCCTGATTAGGGTAAGTGGAAAGTTTTATTATTAAATATTGTGTTTAAGAAAAGAAGCTCTGAAACAGCATTTTTCTGTGAAGGTTGCAGAGTTCTTGTTTTTTTTCCTGTTATGTCATATTTAACTTAAGTGCTCAGTAGAGCTTTGAAATGTTATCAAGCAAAAATAGTAAAACACAGCTACCCTAGAATAAAGAAATGTGCTGAATTGACCAATAAACTTACCAGGAACCCTGGTAACCTGACATGTTTACAAAGTCAGCACATGTGATGCTAGGCACGCAATTGGGATTAGCTTTTCTGGCTGCTGTTATCTTCTGTACACTATCACTTCTGTAAATGATCTGGTATGTCCTAGGTTTGTAGCAAAACACTTTTTGGAAACATGAGCCTTAATGTGTTTGTAAGAATGAGAGCTTTGCAGGATGACCATTTAGCACTTATTGTTTATCCAGCTATTTTTAATAGACAACACTCAAGGTTTAAAAGTGCTGTTAATGTTGTTGTGTTTTCTGGTGGCATTTTGTTAATTTTTGCAAGGGATGCAAAAGCTGAGGGGGGAATTGTGCTTAGTTTTCAAGATGGATTCTGCGTGTCCCACATTCAAAGGCAGCAGTGGAAATTTTGTCTTAGCTCTCAAAGTAGCATTGCTGAAAGCTTGGTTCTGATGCCTAGGATTTCTAGTATTTAGCGGTCTGTTTTGGTTGGTTCCAAAGGTGATCATTTAGGGCTTTTGGTGAGATTTAAGGTCAACAGAGGAACTAGTTTGAACTAACAGATCTAGTTTGGTTCTGAGTGCATGTAGCAGTAATGAGGTCTGGGGAGAGGCATCTTAAACTACTGTCTCTTGTGGATTTGGTTTGTTAGTGTTAGAATGCTGGCTGCACTTGTGGATAACAATTTAAAAAAAAAAAAAAATCCTAAGCTTTCCTTCCTTACTCAGCCTTCAGCTGGAGATTTGGCTTTGAACAGTTTGTTAAGGTTCAGAAATGCAAAAAAGCATAGCTGTCTCAGTGGGGTGGTTAGATTAGATTTTCATGGGTAAGTTTCTGTTGAGAGCTTTTCTTCCTCTCTAACTGTTGTGCTCTGCCATTACTGTGGATTTTATGCAGGTACAATAAATGTATGTCTAATCCTCATTACGTCTTACTGATGAAACTTAGTCCAACTGATGAAGTGATGTTATGTATTGCTTCCTGCAAGGTGCTGACTACTCCAGTAGGTCTGATCAAGGTCTGATCGTTTAGATGATGAAGAAAAATAGTGGAGCATTTGCTCACTTAAACAAGCGTAGGATTGCAGCTAAATTAGAAAACGGGGGAAGAAAAATGGAAAACAAGACTGAAAATAACTCGGTTCTGTGGTGATTTTTATTGAAGTAAATGCACTTAAAAGAAACTGAAGGTAGATAACGGCTACTGTACTGATGCTCTAGATAGTGCCATGGCATTCTAATGCATATAGTGTGCGTATATATAGAAGAGCAGTACAATCTTGAAGTGGTAACTGCTGTTAGAGGCATTGGCTGAACATGCTTTGTGCCAGTGCTATGCACAAAGCTCTTAATTTTTCTGGCTTGATATAGAAGGTGGCTAATAGTGCTAAGGTGTTTGGCTGTTTTCGTAAATTTTTCACTCTTACTGTAGAACTGCTTGAAATAGGTATTTTTTTTTCTTTCCTCTCCAGATAATAAAGAACTCTACCTTGCAAAGGCATTTCATAAGGCTTTCCTAGAAGTTAACGAGGAAGGATCAGAAGCTGCTGCTGCCTCAGGTACCTGACTGAAAAGCAGAATGAAATCAAATGTTGTTCTATGTTAATTAGTATTTTAACTGTTTTGCTGAAATACCAGAAAGCTAACCAGTATGTAGTGTCAAGGCAACACGACTACACTGGTTTTCAGAACAGAATTAGGGAAAACTTTTTTGTAATACTTACATATGGTGTGTTTCATGGTTTAGAGGGTCCTATGGAAAGTCGTCCATATTTTGCTTCTGAATGTCAGGCAGGTGTGAACTGTTTGCTCTTCATACAACTTAAGCACTTCTCATTTTGATGTACTAATTAAAAATGGTCAAAAGCATTTGATCCAGAACAGTTAAGACAGAGTTGCTGCAGTTGCATTTTAATAAGCTCATTTAAAGAAACAAAATTGGAAGTGATAAATGGGAAAACCTAAGTTGCCAGTACTGATGTTAGGAGGCTGGGTAGTTTATTTACCTGGTTATCACATGCTTTTCCTGAAATCAAGTTGTTTTCTATCATCAGCTGATTTCTGTTTGTGCTGGGGGAAAAGATAGATGACTTCCTTGATCATAAATACCTGTAACTAGCTTGGGTTGTAACATTAACATGGACAGGGATTGTTGCATGCATGAGTTTTTATTGTCAGTGCAGTGAAACTGTAAAACTAAATGAAACTCTGGGAAATAATGCCCTGGAGAAATCATGTCTTGCCAAATAAAAATAATGAAAAGCCAAATCCCCCCCTGACTCCTATTTAATTTCACCCTTTCCCTCTGCTTTTTTGAAGATTGAAGCGAAGCTGAAAGCTGCTACATCAGCCTATTTAATTGTTGCATTCTCTGTATCTGTTAAGTTACCTTTTCTATCAATTATCAGCTTGAAGCTGTTAAAAGAGGCCAGTAGCACTGTCCAACACAGTACATCTTATTCTTACAGGGAGGCACAGTTCATCATTCCTTTTAAGTCTCTTCATTTTAGAAGTTGCTTCCTCAGCCTGGGAAATTGTATCACTCCATTTCTAATTCAGTTCTATTTTTAATTATTCTTAAAGGATAAATAAACATGCCATTACTCTGAAGGTCTCCTTTATTTTTGGTTAAATTATTTGTGCTATTTCTTGGTTATGTTAAGTGCTGGAGTGCAGAACTTCACTGTTCGTGAGCTGCAATGATGTTTCATTAAGAGCAGAAGAGAATGTGTAATAATTCTTAAGTTTCTTGTTCTTTATCCTTCAGGTATGATTGCCATTAGCAGAATGGCAGTACTGTATCCCCAAGTTATAGTTGATCATCCTTTTTTCTTCCTGGTCAGAAACAGAAGAACAGGTGAGACTTTCACTCCTCCACACTTTGCACAGTGCCTTGTTGGGTATGAAAGAAAATTGCCTATTTCTAATGAATGCTCTTGCTTATAAACTTTCCTTGATTTGTCTTGAAATAAAAATTGAAAGGCTGGCTTCTTCTGTGTCCCCCTAGTGTTTCTTCAAGGAAGACACCAAAATCTGATGTAATCCTGAATAGTACTCATTCTGTGATTAAAGACTATGAAGGAAAACCTAATCTTTTTCATCAAATTGTAGTGTTCTCCCTGAATGACTGCAATTATTGTACTCCATGAGCACTTGGCACTTGTTTGAGACCAATAAGCTGTGTTCCCAGTACCAAGTGATTTGCATAATGGACAGATATTAGTTATAATTCTGTTGCACTCTTGAAGTGTTCTGTGGCAGGCAAGAGATGAGAACTGCACTTGCAAAATGGGCAATGATTAAGTAATTCCTTAGTTTTATATTTATCTTAATGATGTGGATGTGGCGGGGATGCAAAACATACAGCCACAAACTGTCAGATGTGTCTGTGCTTGAGCATCTTAACTGTTCTACAGTGCAAGAAAACTGTAATGGTTACCCTTATTCACCAGAATATCTGAAGTGCTTGTGCTTGGTGACTACTTCTAAACTGGTTTAGAGATATATAAGCATGAAAGCTATAAGTGGTGATTAAATAGCTGAGAAGTATTTGTATAGAGAATTCTTATTGTGAGTTGCACAATGTGGAATAAATAATGAACCATGTCTAGTAAAAGTCTTAGTATGGTGGCTTTTGCTCACTTTTAATTCTGTGAGGAATGTTATTCACCATTTCAGGCTGGAGAGGGAGTGAAGTGGTTGAGAAAGTCTGGTTCATTTAATGTCTGCTTGTAGCTAGGTTAGCTGCATGCTTAGAACCCCCTCCAGTCTAGGGAGCTCTGACTACATCGGTGGAAATATTTCCATGAGCCTTCATCAGAACTGTTGGAATTTAAAGTGAACCTGTTTTGATTTGTGGTGGGTTTTGAATCAAGGCTTTAGAATAAACTGAAGGGTACTGAAATGCAGACAGTGTCTGCTGTTCTTGTCTGTGTATTGTATCACTTCTGAATACAAAGAAGTCCTTATTCTCTAGTGTTATTGATCCATACAGTTTCATGGGTACCAAATTCTAACACAAATTCCTATCAAAATTCTTGACCACATGGTCAAGAACTCAGTATTCATCATCATTTAACTTCAGCTTTTTGTGCTGACATCTTCCCTTCCTCCCTTTTGTCACAGGTACTGTGTTATTCATGGGGAGGGTGATGCACCCTGAAGCAATGAATACAAGTGGCCACGACTTTGAAGAGCTTTAACTACTGCCAGCTATAAAATGAGGGAAAAAAAGCACATCAAGTTTGAAGTTAATATATTTAAGGTTTGCTGTGTCCCCCCCAAGATATTGTTTAAAATGCTTTCAGATCTATGTGCAAGTCAGTTTCCAGAGAAGTTCACAGTATTAAAATAATGGTTCTGTTTTTGTTATTGTGATTGCTGTGTCCTTGAAATAAAATTGTGTATATGTCAACAACTGTTTCTTGTTTAGTGAATTGTAAAGTAAAAACAAAAAGTCTTGCAAATCCATAATTCCTGAATTGTTTACAGTGCAAAGACTCAGTGGATCGATGAGACAGGAGCACAATGTGTTCAGCTCTGAGTAATCAAATGGCAAACCGTCTTGATTTATAGTTGAACTACATCTGGAAAATGTAATCTTGTAATAGTAAACAGACTGCAGCGTGCTGTCTCAAAGTTAATGGAAGAATCTAAACCTAATGGATTCTATCTGAGAACTGTGATAGACTGTGTAAACTCCAACATGTGGCTTTAAAATGCTGCTTTCATGAATGCTCCTGCATGCAGCGCCGCGATTCACCTTCCGTAAGTGTTGATACCAATAAAATTTGATCGCATGAATATTTCAAGCTAGTCAGTGTAGAACAGCTGTGTATGTCCAAATTAAAATAGTTGAACAGTCACACTGTGTGAACATTTTTCTCCCCAAAAGCAGTTGTTATACTTTAACCTGGGCTTTACAGTATCTCACTTCAGTGATTTAGAATGATCTTAAAATACAGAAAATGTTTATTTTCCTAATTTAAGTGTCTGAAGATGTTTAGTTCATAAGTGTCTGAAGGACCAACATAATCCTTTTGTTCCCTAAGTTTTCACTGAGTGTTGACAGACAGGAGAATGACTTACATCACAAGTAAATGTTACCTTGTGAACTAATTGTGATTTCCATTTTCAAGTTATCACCAGGCAGGCATATAATTTTGTCCCTCACTGTGCAAACCATGAGATGAACAGAAGTTATTAAAAAGGTAAGAGAATAGGGGAAAAAAGGGTGAAAGGAGCTCTTTTGAAACAGATCATAAATACAGACTTCTAGATAAGTGGGACTTTGGTCAATAGCAGTGTTGTCTTTTACATATCATGGGAGTTTATATATTGGCTAATCATAACTTACTAAAGGGGCTCTCTGGTTTGTATTCAGTTCAAAACAGACTAGATACTGCTAACAAAGCTATTCATGCAAGGAGAACTTGCCAGATTTGACACATTGTTCACTCTTTTATCCTGCTGGTGCAAATCTTACAGGACAGGCTACAAAGTGATGAATGATCTCCATGGAGGCTGGTTAAACTGCCACAGAGAAAGGGCATTTGAGCACATATCAAGCCTTGCCTCCTTGACCTGTTTAGAGCTATAGCATAGAGGAGAAATGAAGCTCCTTAACAGTATTTCAGGTACTTCGTTGATTCCTATTACCCATAGTATATATTAGTCTTAGTTCTGAGATGTTTTGTATTGAAATTTAAATTGTGATCTTAATATTGTACGGTAGAAAAATATATTTTTTGTTTGGCATTCCTTTTGCCTCCGGAGTAGGAGCAGGACTGATTTTAGCAAAGTGGAGGACTGGCCTCAGAGTAAGTAAATGCAGCTCCTTTGATGCAGTTGCAGGAGGGCTGGTTGTACATGTTAAGGTGATTTACAGAAAGCCATTTAATGCATTGAAAAGTAACTGTTATGCCAAGGATACGTTTTTGACCTTCTCAGGAACCCAAGTTTCATGCTGTTAAACACTTTCTAGCCAGTTTTTGAGATGCTTATTGAAGCACCTTGTTATTGTAGAGGCATTTATTATAGAAAGATGAGAGAAAAGCAGGTATCTCTCAGTTGGGCTTATTCCTAGTTCACTGAAAGTGCTTGCTGGCCAATTTCATTGTCTTTACACCAGTTTCTTGCAGTGTAGATGCTCCTTACTGAGGAAAAGACTTTGAAGATAGACTTGAACTAAAGCTGTAGAATTATGGAAGGACAACTGCCAGTCAGAAGGATATCAGGCAAGTGCACATAGAGCCCTAGCAGTTAGTCTGAATGTAGGTACTAATTGGAATGAGGCAGTCTCCTATGCCAAGTCTGAGTCTGCAAATTGCCTCAATGGGCAAATTAGAAAGCAGGCAGTAACAGAAGTGCAAACACTAGCTATTTCATTTCATATTTGCCTAGTTCTAACAAAGTAGTTATTTCCTTTTTTTTTTTTTTTTAAGATAAATGAATGTTTTCTGGTATATGAATGGGTTTATTACCAAATTGTTTGCTGTATAGCACAAAGAATACAGCTCTCAAACAATGCTGATTTTCATTGGTACCTTAAGTGTTGTTACCACTTTGAGACATATAATCTTCCATTGTGTTTTTAGTCTAGATTTAGTCTAGATAGATTTTTGTATGTTCTTTTCAGAGATACTATTGCTTCTGAGACAAAACTATCAATGATTCTTTATGTCTTAGTGTTTTTATGGTAAGGGGGATTTGTTAGTGTCCTGTATGTGAGTTTAGGTGTGTAGTCTTTAAAAAAAAAATATATTTTGTGTTGGGGCTGTATCAAAATACATTCTTAAAGTCTATGGTTGTGCTGTGTAAGTGACCCATGATGTGAGTGTCTGCTGCAACCCTGTCATGCAGACAGTTCAAGCACAAGATGAAGTTCCCTGATGCTGTCATCTCTCTGTCTTGCATTCATCTCCTGGAGTGCTGCTGGAAATGCTCTTGGGAGCTTCAATGGGAGAAAGTACTGCCTTGCCGATCATTTTTGTAGCTATGCTGGGACTTGAAGCTGGTTAACTAAAGTGGTAAGGTTATTTAAGTGTAAGATCTTGAGCTGCAAACGTTTTTTCTGGATTAGAACTTCATTCAAACAAAAGCTTGACGTGTTCTACACAATAGAATGTCAGTGTTCTTCCAAGAGCAAATTTTCACTGTCTATTCAGAATCTTGATTTGGAGCACTTGCTTGCTTTTAAGTAGTTAACCAAAATGCACCCACCCACTACAGTTCACAGAAGAAACTGGAATGTTATTGAAAGTGGCAAACTTGTTGCATAGGACATTCATGCATGTACTACTTACTGGATGCAGTCAGCTCCTAGCTGTGATCTTTTTCTATTAGATGCAAGTGCTTTTCAGCTGCAGACTTTGTTACAGTAAGAGCCAAGTTTTGCATTTTGAATGTGATTCACCCTACTGCAGTGTTACAGAAATACACAGGTGTGAAACTGGTCTTTCATGGGACTGGATGAAGTATGATATTCCTCAAGATCTTAGTGTTCTATACCAGAAAAAGTTAGTCAACGTTCTTATGGCTAATTCCTCAATGATGGACGGAAGAAACCACAAGATGTCACTCTATCCTAAGAAGCCACGAAGTACTTCCTTGTAGGGCAGTAACCCTAGAGGAATATTGGGAAGCTGAGTGTCCTGAGTAAGAGCTGGCTGTATGTAGGTTTTGGAAAAAAAAAAAAAAAAAAAAAAAAAAAAAAAAAAACACCATGAATTGTTTGTATGTTTGGGGACATAATTGGACACAGGTGTCTGAGATTAATAATTGGAGGTATAACAACTATTCTGAACTCTTCCCTTCTTCTTTAATAACTGTTGGATTTAGTCCATTGTTTCTAGTCTTGGGATTCTTGGCATTATATTCTTCTTCCAAGAGCCATTGTGTAGATTCAAAATTGAAATTTAAGTAGACAGATGAAAGCAGAGAGTCCTTGGGAAGTAAAGGGATACTGGCGTTCAGCATTTTGGGCAGTAGCAAAACTCACCAGCCACCTAGTCCTGTCAATACAGGGAGCCCTGAAGAGGAGTCACAACCTTCATCTGAGGAGCTCCTTCATATGATGCTTTAATATTACTTGGCTTGCATTTTCTAGATACATCAATTTGTTAGTGGATTTATTTGTAGTGCCCTGAGAAGCTACTTTAAGACAAGTTAATTTGGGCTCTCTTAGCCTTGATAACACCTGATTGAAATATGCTTCCTTCCATGAATGGGAAGAATAGAGATTACATTATGACAGTTCCCTGACAAGTGGCTTCAAAAAGCAGCAGAGAAGGCTATTTTTCAGTAAGACCATTAACCATCTGGCAGCTCATTTTCCACCCTCCTTCATTGCAGGCATAATTGAAAAGCATTTGAAGAAAAGACAGATCAGAGTCTGCTACTTCCATGTAATGTGTCCTGATGATTCAATAAACAAAGGTTTTCAAGTGGGGGCATGTTTTACTTCCTGTACCTCCTTGAGTGCTGTGAAGCTGAGCTTATTTAAATTAGCTTTTCAAAACTTTTTTAAAATGAAACATGGAGGTTATGCATTTTGCATGTGTTCACATTTGACGGAAATGTATGGAAGACAGCATATGCTAATAGAGAGGGGAAGAATTGATGAGTGTTAGGCTTTTGTGTGTGGTGCTGTTGCAAATATGATAGAAGTGTTGCTGGTGAGTTATCCTAACTGTTACCCTAACTGTGCACGTTTGTGAACTCAGTTTTTCCTAACACTGATGGTAGAGGAGCATAAGATCACGTTCTTCACTCCTTTCCCCATCTCAGAATTTATCTAGAATTTTGTGGGTTATGTACTTGCTTCCCATGACTGTTGTGCAGGAAAACACTTTTACAGATAAGATCCAAGATGCAGAAGTAGTGCCTGTGACCCCTCCTCCTTTTGGCTGGGGACCTGATTTGAATGTGATGAAAGCATGCAAAGAACTAGACTGCCCTTTTCCCTGCCCTCCAGGGGAAGGAAATACAGTGTGATTTGCATTACTTAGTTTTGCTGCAATGCATAACTGGATGCTCCAGTCCTCTGCTGGGGAACACATGGGACTCAGAACAATTCTTTGGCCCTTCTGCTTGACTGTAGCCTAAGTGACTTATTCCACAGAAAATAATGTTGCTGAAGTACAGTATAAACCCCATGCTAAATGACCATCAAGTGATGTTGGTCCAGTGCCCTAGGGCCTGGGAAAGAGCAATCTGCTAGTTTGGCATGTGGGTTAGGATCTTTGCCCTTTTTAACTCTCACTGTACCTTTCTGAGGCTGAAAATGGGAGTGATATGATGCTGTAAATTGCAGACAATAAAGCAAGGAGGAGACCAATATGCAGCTATCTGCTGTGCCCAGAGCTATCAGTCAACTCACTGAATCACTTCTCTGGGCCAAAGTGTCAGTGGGTGTGTGGGTAGGAAAACCCAGTGAACAATCAAAGCATTTAAAAAACAAGGCAACAAATGTGAAGCATTTGAGAGTAGCAGCTGATTTTTTCCCTGAGCAATCTAACAATTTACATAATCATAAAGAAATATTTAATTTTGTTTGCTTAAGCCATCCAGTGTTTTGCTGTGAGCATTAATCATCTGGTGTCACACAATAACACACTAAATGTCACACACTGAATTGTATCTTTTGTGGCACCATTATGAATATTCTGGATGTAGAAAGAAATGCTTCATGTATTGCTAGCTGTAGAGCAAGCACAGTCTTACTGCTTTGTTTTGCATTCAGTAGATCTACACAACAGGAAGGCAGCATGCAAAGTAAGGAAGAATACTGTTGAAGCTCAACT